CTAGTTGAAAATCAGAAAGGTGTATGTCCTCTCACCACACAAACTCAATGTGTATGCTTAGCAAATAAGAGAAGCTGAATTATATGAAGAAGAATGTGGCACCAGGAATGGAGGAAGGGTTAGGAACAACCTGAGATAGGTAGATGGTACAACCTTGCTTGCTGAAATCAAGGAGGACTTGAAACACTTGCTGATGAAGATCAATAACTGCAGCCTTTAGTATGAATTATGAATCAATGAAAAGAACACTAAAAGACAACTGGAACAATAGGTAACATCATGATAAATGGAGAAACTATTGAAGCTGTCAAGGATTTGTCATTTTGGATCCACAATCAATGCTCATGGACATAACAGCCGGGGGATCAAAGAATGTGCTGCATGGGGTAAAACTGCTGCACAAAGATCTGTGTTGCTTGGGGAAAAACTGCTGCACAAAGATCTCTGTAGAGTGTTGAAGAGGTACTTTGAGGACTTAGTTGCACGTGGTCCAAGCCATGGCCTTTTCAGATGCCTCATATGGGTATGAAAGTTGGATGTTGAATAAAGAAGACCAGAGAAAAATCTACATGTTTGAATTATGGTAATGATGAAGAATATTGAAAATGCCATGGACTGCCAAAAGAGTAAACAAACCAGTCTAGCAAGAAGTATGACCAGAATGCTTAGAGACATGGATGGCAAAACTTTGTCTCATGTACTTGGGCATGTTGTTAGCAGAGACCAATCCCTGGTGTGGTTATGCTTGGTGTGGTATAGGAGTAGCTAAAAAGAGGAAGTTCCTCAAGGACACGGACGGACACAGTGGCAACAGCAGTGGGCTCACGCATAGGAACAATTGTGAGGATGGTGCAATACTGGCAATGTTTTGGTCTACTGTGAATAGGGTCGTTATGTGTCGGAAATGACAACCATGACACCTAACAACAACAAATTAAATTAGGATAGATTGACACAATTGTCATGTAACTTGGACAAGCCTCCTCGCCTCTCTGTGTTTCTTCTTAATCCGTATTAAAAAGGGAACTTCTAAAGAATCTTAAATTCTATGGTTCAATGATGTCATAATGTAAAATTATACGCACACTCTTTCCACTTCAACCACCTTCTAGTCTTTTCAGAAGATAAAGATGAGGTTGGTTTGCTTAACTTATATATGAACCCTAGTTGAGTGACTGATGAGTGCCCTCCTCTATAAAGTCATACTGATCTAGGTATGGGTATTTGCCAGCTACTGTGTTGAGAGTGGGGGCATCAAATGAACTTTGTCTTGTTCTCCAAGTTTCAATCTGTTAGAAAAAATTGTGCTATAATCCTGACAAACAGCAGAAATATGTTGTGTTTTGCTCATACTACTTCAAATAAGCCACTCAACATTTTGAAGCTACTCTTCGTTTTTTCAGTTGCATGGTGAAGGTATGAAATCGAACAATGGTGAGGATTCTCATACCATGACTTCAGCTTACACTGTATGGGGACCTAGTGCTAATATCTGAGGATATGAATCTCTTCCCTTGTACAAGGAGCAAATGACTTTAACACATGGCTTCTATACAAAAGTATAAAATTTGCTTTTTATACTTGAAGACTCACTTCTTTGCTTGAAAGAATTTTTCTTAGTAAACAAGCTTAATTCATATAGGGTTTATATTTCAAACAATTGTAAAATTGAAAATTTTAAAAAGATTCATTTTTTTTCTTATTTTGATTCTCAATATGACTTTTACTCTTTTTTAAAAAACATCATTTTATTGGGGCTCATACAACTCTTATCACAATCCGTATATCAATAGATTCAGGCATGATTGTACCTATGTTGCCCTCATTCTTTTCTAGACATTTACTTCCTTTTTTTTTTTTTTAAATTAAGGTGTGTTTTTTTTCTCATTACAATATTTATTAAAGAAGAAAATGTGACAGCTTAATAAAGTCATGCATTATTTCCCAATTTTCATTTTCTATAATATGTAAACATGAATTAAAAAAATCCTTAAAACTTTAAATCAAAAAACAACAACAAAAACCCCTTAAAATATCAAATGCAATATAGCCCATCTTTTAATATTGTAACCTTGCTTCTTTTGACAAGGCTCATTTTCATAATGTTAACACTAGAGTTAATCATCTATCGTAAAATTCTTTTTCTTTTTTTAAAATTATTTTATTGGGGGCTCGTACAATTCTCATCATAATCCATACATGCATCCACTGTGTCAAGCACATATGTACATTCACTGCCCTCATCATTCTCAAAACATTTGCCCTCCACCTTAATATCAGTTGCTCATTTTCCCCCTTCCTTCCCAACCGGTTCCCTCCCTCATGAACCCTTCATAATTCACAACTTATTATATTTTTGTCATAAATTACACTGTCCGACGTCTCCCCTTACCCACCCACCCCAGCCCTCTTCTCTGCTGTCCCTCCCCCAGGGAGGAGGCAATACCTAGATCCTTGTAATTGGTTCCCCCTTTCCACCCCACATTCCCTTCACCCTCCAGGCCTCGCCCCTCTCACCACTGGTCCTGAAGGAGTCATCGGTCCTGGATTCCCTGTGTTTCCAGTTGCTATCTGTACCAAAGTACATCCTCTGGTCTAGCCAGATTTGTAAAGTAGAATTGGGATCATGATAGTGGCGTGGGGGGTGGGGGGACGCATTTAAGAACTAGAGGAGAGTTATATGTTTCATCGTTGCTACCCTGCACCCTGATTGGCTCATTTCCTCCCCTCAATCCTTCAGCGAGGGGGTGTCCAGTTGCCTACCGATGGGCTTTGAGTCTCCACTCTGCACTCACTCACCTTTACAATGATATTTTTTGTTCTTTGATGCTTGATACCTGATCCTTTCGACAGCTCGTGGTCACACATGCTGTTGTGCTTCTTCCATGTGGGCTTTCTTGCTTCTGAGCTAGTTGGCCACTTGTTTATCTTCAAGCCTTTAAGACCCCATACGCTATATCTTTTGATAGCCTGGCACCCTCAGCTTTCCTCACCACCTTTGCTTATGTACATTTTTGTCTTCAGTGATTGTGTCAGTAAAGTGGGCACACACTGATACGATTTTCAGTTCTTTGATGTCTGATAACTGATCCCTTCTACACCTCATGGTCAGACAGACTGGTGTGCTTCTTCCATGTGGGTTTTGATGCTTCTCAGCTAGATGGTCGCTTGTTTGTCTTCAAGCCTTTAAGACCCCAGACGTTATATCTTTTGGTAGCCAGCACCATCAGCTTTATTCACCACTTTTGCATACATTCACATTTTTCTTCAGCAATCGTGTCAGGAAAGTATGCATCCTGGCATGCCAATTTAATAGAACAACGTGTTCTTGCAATGAGTAAGTGCTTGAGTGGAGGCCCTAATTAAACATTTACTTTCTATTGAACCCTTGGTATCAGCTCTTTTCCCTCCCTCCCCCCCCCACCCTCATAACCCACTGATAGAGTCTATATTGTTATTATTTTCATCTCTCACGCCTACCACTGTCTTCTTTCCTCCATGTTTTCTGTTGTTCTCCCCCCGTAGAGGGGTATATGGTTATGTATCGATCATTGTGATTGGTTTCCCCTTTCTCCCTATCTCTCCCCCTCTTCTCCCTACCCTTCTGGTATCACTATTCTCACTCCTGTTCCTGGATTCCATGTGTCGTGAGCTCCCATCCCTTTCTGTACCTGCGTGCATGTTCCGGTCTAGTCTGATCTGGGAAGCAGCACTAGGGTCATGGTAGTAGGGGGTGAGGAAGCCACAAGGAACCAGAGGAATATAGTGTCTTTCATCGATGCTTTACTGCACCCTGGCAACTCATCCCCTCCCTGTGGGCCATCTGTGGGGAGATTGTTCCACTGTCTGCAGATGGGCTTTGGATATCCACTCCAGCCCTCCTCGTTCTCCACAGTATGTTTTTGTTTGTTATGTGTCTGCTGATGCCTTTTACCCGGCCCCTATCATTCCTCATGGTCACACCGGCAGTGTGCTTCTTCCACGTGGACTTGTTGCTTCTCTGATGAATGGCGAATTGTATAGCTTCAAGCTTTTAAGATCCCAGGTGGTATATCTTTTAATAGCTGGGCACCATCTGCCCTCTTCACCATATTTGCTTATGCATCCATTTTGTCTTCAGTGATTGTGTCTGGAGGGTGAACATCTCAGACTGCCGATTGGTTAGAGCAATGTGTTCTTGTATTGATGGAGGATATGAGCAGAGGCCCAAAGTCCATCCCCTACCTCAGTGTATTGCCGTATAATTATATGTACATGGGCCAATATCTCTATTTTTGTGGATAATGTATTTACATATGTACACACCATGCTCATACCTCCATCCATTGCCCCGCCTCCTCGGTCCTTCTCCTGCTTCCCTCCACCTTCCTCCTGCCCCACCATCACTTTCCCCTTATTTCTGCCTCTTGCCACCTCCTCCCAGCCAGTTTGCTGTTGCTCTGACCACCCCCCTACCCACCCTTAGCCACCCGCCTCTTTAAGGGAATGGAATGCTGTCTCCTTCTCAGCTGGCAGTTTAGAACTGCTGACTTTGCGGATTGCAGTCCAATGTGTAACCATTACACCACCAGGGCTCCCTCCACCCTCTAGTATTATCTACTGAAGTAATGAGCACATTTTTCTCATTCTAGAGACAGTATAGGTTGAAACTTATCTTACAACAATTGTCCTTTTTGAATGAATGATTTCACTCAGTATAGTGCTTTCTCGGTTCATCCATGTTGTAGTATGTATAAGAACTTTATTTTCCTTTTCATGACAGGGTGGCATTCCATTGCATGCATATTCCACATTTTAGTCCTCTGTTGATTGGTATTCTTTTTATGCCTTTTGATGTTTATGAACAGTGCTGTAATGAACAGTGATGTGCAATTATCTTCCAATATTACCATAAATTTATTAAAAAAAACAAACCAAACACACCCTCCCTTATATCTATAAAAAATACTGTGACTTTGTAAATTGCTTATTTAATCCAAGTGGTTTTGATGTATTTTCAGGGAAGTAAAGGTGAGCCTGGACCTAAAGGGATGGCTGGGCCTTCTGGCTCCAAGGTAATTGTGTGTTTGATACATTTGCAAATATTTTCAAACATATTACAACACGTCTCTCACATTATTTGACAAGACTAACAAGAAATTAAGGAGTATCTACATTATGAAATTAAAGTACAGGAAAGATCCACCATTTACTGTGGGTTTCATTTCTCTTTTTAAAGATGATCTTATAATTGTTTAAGTCATAATACAGTGAAATATACTTTGGATTAGCAATTTTAGAAATGGTAAAAGCTGTATGTTAATGTGAACGTAGTTTCTTGTCTAGAGTGTTTTAGGTAACTAAAAGCACCATATGACTCCCAAACAATGCTCTTCCTTTGTTTGCTGATGGATGGGGACTTCCTTTTCCGTTTTGGCATGGGGACTCACAGCTGCCATTACCAGAGTACTTGGAATCAAATGTTTGCATGGATTTGATTTTCCATTCTCCTGCAGAGTCCTATCCCCCAGCTCTGGAGTGTGTACAGTAAGCAAGGGGGCAGCACTTGGTCTCTGCCAAGGGCACGACCTTGGCTGTTGTCAGATGCCATTGAGTCGGTTCTGACTCAGAGCAGCATCGTCTTTCATGTGAAATAATTTGGGACTAGTTACAAAAACAACCACGAAGCATGTGCAGCACATTCCAGATCCTACAAATCTATCCTAAATGTTATCAGCATGTCAGCAATATAAACTCACTCATAAAGAATTTCCTTTTAAACAATTTTTTGGAAAACGTTATCTCACAAAGAAAATAATCCCTGTGGGATAACAGAGAAGTATAGAAAATCAGTGAAAATTTGTGTTCATGTAACTAATACACTATTCCTCAGACTGAAAGCAGCTCAAAATACACTTATAGGAAAAACAATATTCCATATTATAATGTACATACTTTTAAGTACAAGAATCTATATTCTAATACTGCCTTTAAAAATAAAAATTGTGAAAAATCTTTAATAATAGGAATTTTATGAAATAAAATGCAGTGAATCAATAGAGTGATTAAAAATAACAATTAGAATAATGTTATGGACCCACAATATTGCATATAAAGAACTTCAAAATATTAATGTATTTTAGAGTTTTAAAACATACTGTAAATTTTTGCACACACAATAAGCACATTTTGTTAGTACATTGTGTTTTCATAGGGAAAATCTGTTATAAAATAAGACCAGTGGGTAATGAGATTATAAATCATTTTTATTATTTATATTACGTTTAAAAATAAGAAAAAAAGTTTTTTAAAATAGTAATATGATAAAAAGCAACTACAGGGAACAAAATAGAACACTATTAAACAAGTAAACAATAAGAAAAGAGATGCTTGTATTTAACATTATTACTAATTTTTACTTACTTCTTACTAAAGTAGTAAACTATGAAAATACTAAATATCTACAAAATTTTAAATACAGAAGACCATCAAAATGTCCCAGCTATTGACAATAGGAAAACAATGAAAGGAATTTTATTGAGATTCCAGGGTACTTTTTATTTCTTATTGTTTCTATACTAATACATCTCTAGGTCCATTCTAAATTTCTGATGTGTGATAGAGATAACAACGATGATGTTTTCCATCAGTCTGTGATTTTTATAGAATTTTACTGTTCTGTAGGGAGAACCAGGAGCAGTGGGTGCCCAGGGAGAGCCAGGATACATGGGTTTTCCTGGGACGCAAGGGAAAAAGGTATGCTTTGTTTAGGAAATATAAATCACTTATTTTGTTGTCATCGAGAATGTACACAACAGAACATACACCAATCAGCTGTTTCTACGCGTACAATTCGGTGTCACTGATAAATTCAACCATTTCACTCTTCTCTTCTATGCTGTCCCTCCTTCGTTAACATAAGCTCTCACCTCTCAATGGTCCCTAACTAATCTTTCAAGTTGCTGTTGTGACCTTGAGTCTATATAGCAATTTCTTAAAAGAACATAAAGCTCCAGGCAGATAATTTTTTTAGAAGTTAAACTGAACTATTGTTTGGTTTTATGAAGACTTCAGGTTATAACTCAGTTTTCAATTAGCATTCACATGTTTAGGTTAAAGGATTTCTGTCCTAAAATTTGACGTTTGAAATAAAGTCTGTATTTTCCTTGTTGTTATCACAATATTCCACTCACTGTCATTAGATAGTATGGTAATTGGAAGGAAATTTGGACATAGTACTCTAGCCTAACTTTGAACAAATGCTCACTTTCCTGATCTCTGGTTTCATTATCTATATGCTGATCTCGGATGTCCTTTCTCATTGAAATTTTCACATAACTTACAATTGTGGAATAGCTATATGCACCCCCTGCTACCAAAAGCTCATGTTTTATCAGATATCATTTATACAGTGTGTTTCACTTTGCTATCGTTTTCTGGAACATGTGGCTACTATTCACTTGATGGAAGATTTCAGTTTGATATTTTATTCCATAAGACAACATTGCATAAAAATAAGGCTTCTCGCTTGCTTTATTAACTACAGAAATGTTTTTCTTTCTGGTACATACATGTTGTGGTAATTGTTTGCAAATGTATAAGCTCATGAAAGTATTCTGTTAGAATATCATTTTGTCATAAAGTGGTTTTACTCTTTTCCCAGATGTTGTGTTAGGATTCAGCCTCTACATATGCAGGCACTTGTGGAATTTGCATGAGATCTTATGTTTTACTCTGTGGAAGAAAAAAAAGTTGATTTGAAAGGCTATGGATGTATTCAACTCTGAATTCCATTGAGCTGCATTTTAATGTCTTGCAGGGAGAAAAAGGAGATCGAGGTGAAAAAGGCCTTCAGGTGTGATGTGAATTTTCTCCCTTTGCCTTAGTAGTAGAATCAACATTTTCTTCTTTTTAATTATTTTATTGCTTTCCCAATCTCTTCCCATTTCATCATCAATATCTTATTTTAAAATCACATCTCTGTTCTTTTGCTATTGACCTTAACACAGACTAGTTTATCTAACCTTAAGATGCTCTGTGTTAGAATATTTGGGGACGAAGTAATTCATCAGCCAATAACTAAGTAAAAAGCAACAGAGCCTTATTATTAATACTAACAAAATTATTAGCACATTTATAGGTTTTTTTTAAGAAAATAGAGCATAGGTTTCCAAAAAAAATTTGAAGTGACCTATGGCAAAAACATTAATTGAATTAGAAGACATTAACGCAGAATGAAAAGCACCCTCTAATATGTGGAAAGGCAAATATATGAGGGAGCTTCAAAAAGGGTCATGAAAAAATTCTGTTTTCTTTCCATTTTATCTACTTTTGAAGCCTCCTTGGATTAAACCATCCTATAAGATTGAGAAAATGTATGGTATTTTCTAGAGCATTTTATTTGGGGTGTCATAAGCAAAAGCAAAGGGACTCATGCTACCATAGAAGACAAGAAGAGTTTTATCTCAGTTTATTTAAATGGCTGTGGAATGAATGGGTTCTCTCGTTAATAGTAGAAAACCAAACCAAAAGGAACCTTGGCTGCCTAGTGGTTATGCAGCATTTACGAAATTGGCTGCAATCCCTAAGGTCAGCAGTTTGAAACCACCAGCTGCTCTGAGTGAGAAAGACAGGAACAGGATCCTACTTGCTGAGTCAATGATACAATTACTTTTAATAAATTATAGTAGTTGGTCTTTCAATCTTGTGCATTTAGCTATATAAACTTTTCAAACTACAAAAACCAAACTAATGTCTAAGTGTTATTTTAAAGATTTCTTTTTCAATTGTAAGGCTTTTTTGTTACTAAGCTTTATTCTGTAGAATAAATTTAAAGTAACAAGAACATTTACAAGATAGAATGTCAAAAGTTCTAGAATTTCTGGGAGCATTAGTCAAAATTGGCTAATGTTATAGTTCTAACATTTTGTAGTCATGAATTTACATTTTATTACATTGATGAACTATTTTAAAGTGGCATAACAGAATTTGGTTGTTTTTCAGACAGCTTTTTACAGACATCTTCAAGTATTGTATGATTCCTTTAAAATTAATTTTGAAAGTAGAGTGTTGTAAACTTTGAATATACTACAATTTTTTTCTTGGCATTTTTTTATGTGGTTTATACGGACATAATATTTAATATGTTAAAAACTGAATCTGTTCTCTTTCCCCATAAACAATATCCTACACATACATTGTTTGTCATGGTAATTGGAGCCACTCCACAATTATCCAAGAAAGAGGTCTCATCTGTCATCCTACAACCCCATCTCTTTCTTTATCTCACATCCAATGGTTCAGTCAGCCCTAAATGGCTCCTGGATGCGGCTCCTCCTCTTTGTCCCCACCGACCTCATCATTCTTATTGGTAACTGCAATTGTTTATTAGATTCTTTCAATCTCTTCTTCACTAGTCTCTTTGAATCCAGTTTCCTCTGTTCCCCACACGCTTTTGCCATTGTGCAACAGCTAAGTGACATATCTGCTTCAAACTGAAAACTAAAACTCGGCACCACTGAGTCAATTCTGACTCATAGTGACCCTATAGGACAGAGCAGAGCTACCATGGTGGCTTCTGGGATGGTTACTCTTTATGGGAGTAGAAAGCTAGTTGTCTTTCTCACACGGAGCAGCTGGTGGTTTTGAAATGCTGATTTTGTGATTAGCAGTATAATGCATAACTACTACATCTCCAAGGTTCCTGCCACATATCTGCTTAGGAATCCTTGTATGGTTCGCAGCATATGTCAATATGAAATCTCTACTATAAAGAGAAAATAAATCTCTCCCATAAAGTGACTTCCCCTACCCCATTTTCCAGTTCGACTAAATCTTCTTTAATTTGATTTCTTGCCACTTTGACCATTATTATACATTCTTTCTCCACTGCATTATCCAAAAGGAGCTAGTTTCCTTTGCCCACGACTTCTTTTTCTGCTACATCCTGTGATCTTTTATTCATCCCCAAGGCTGTGCTCAGGACCAGTCAGTCTCTAATCTTCCCTGTCTGACGCTCTCCTGTGTTCTTCCATACTAACCAGCCCAGGTATTTACTTGACTTAAACTTTATATATTTATCAGATGGTATTTCAGTTACTTATCTTCTGCAATTGGGAGGCAATAATTACGTCCCTGTTGAAGGGTCCCTGAGGCCAACATAATAGATATATTAAATATATTACAATTTCATTCGTTGCATTACCTTTGCATGTTTCATGGGTACTTCCATATTCAATATGTCAAAATCAGCTTGCCACTGTATAAATCTTGAAATTCATCTAGGTGAGTAAATGAATACATATATTTGCAAGACTGCTTTAAAGTATACATAAGATGGTGAATGGCACAAAGTGGTTTGTAATTAGCTGATAACTGAAATTTGACTGTTCACACCCACCCATGACACCATGGAAGAACAAGCCAGACAATCTGTTTCTGTAAACATGATTATCCAAGAAAACCCTGTGAAGCAGTTCTGCTTTGTAAAACATAGGATCATGATGAAGCAGAGACCAACTTTACGGCAGCTGACAACAACAAAAACAAGCCTTTTGTGACCGAAGTTATCCAAGCATGAGTAGAGACTGCTATTTATCTTGTTCAACACTGAAACTCTAGCACGGTGTCCAAAATATTTATTGAATAGATAAATATATATGTTTTCTCTTGTTAGCACAGATTTAAAGATCTTCATTTAAATGCGCCTTATTACTTTTAACAGTATACATATTTATTTTTCAGAGACATTTTTTAAACCGTTTTATTGAGGACTCGTACAACTCATCACAATCCATCCATCCATCCATCCATCCATCCATCCATCCATCCATCCATCCATCCATTGTGTCAAGCACATTTGTAAATTTGTCACCATCATCATTCTCAAAACATTTCCTTTCTACTTGAACCCTTGGTATCAGCTCCTCCTTTCCCCCCTCCCCCACTACTCCCTCCTCCCCGCTCCCTCATGAACCCTTGATAATTTATAAATGATTATTATTTTGTCATGTCTTACACTGTCAAAGACATTTTAAAAAGAAGCGTTCTTGTCCTTGCTTGTTCTGTTGCCAGCATGGAGCATAGTGATGTCACCAAGACTAATAAATGTCCACATTTATTGAACTATTCTGTGCTATGAGATAAGAACTAAGCAGAGCATCTTCAAGGATCTAAAATGTTGCCCATGTCCTCCATAAGTGAGATTTTGTTTGTCTTCCATTGTAATAGGTTGACATGCCTTTCTTCTTCTTCTTCTTCTTCTTCTTCTTCTTCTTCTTCCTCCTCCTCCTCCTCCTCCTCCTCCTCCTCCTCCTCCTCACTTTCTCCTCTCTTGTGTAATCTATCTGCTTGCATCCTGCTTGGGTGACCTGTCTTTAGACTTGAGGGTAATACATAGTTTGCATTTGTATGTGGTTGAAACATATATTAAAAAACTAATTGATGATTTGGATTCCATTTTAAAGGGCCAAAAGGGAGAACATGGAAGTCAAGGAATTCCAGGACAACAGGTATTATTCTTATTTTTATTAAAAAGTGAAAGAATGAATCAGGACCCTAGACAATGTTTAGGGGGGTTGTTACTTGCAATTAAAAATAGATGAATGGTGGAAAGAAGATGTCATGACCATTATTTGTCTCATATTTTGATTTTTTCTTGTTTCATATTTTGATCTTTAACACAGATAAAATTGATGACTTTGGCATTAGAGTTTTTATTGATTGTACCTGGCAAAGTAAATGAGTGTGAAAATTCCCCTTTTTTGGCAGTAGTTGTTTAGAGACAACCCACAGTGGCAGCCTCAACATAGCCATTGACTAGTCTCCATTTGCTTCTTAAAATGATCACATGTCATAGAGGAATGCATTTATTCCCTTCTTTTTTGTCTAACGATGTCATTTACTACTCTAGAGGCTTATTAAATTTTTGTCCCATGATGTTGTGCAATGGAACAAATGTATAGCAAGCTATTTTTGTTTCTTCCCTGACTAATTGCTTGGAATTCACACTGGTTCATTTCAGTGTGACTACCTGCCCAATTAAGTGAACTAGAATGGACCTGATTTTTTAAAATGCAAGTAAACTGGAATGATTCATCAAATATGAAAAGTTAGGGTTTATACCCTGCTAGAAATTTAATATCCATATTAGAAAACAAGGGCAGGTGCATGTTGTACATTGTCCAAGGCTCTCGGCATTTTTCCACGCATAGATTGTGATGGGCCATGCCGTTTTGAATGTATGTCACTCTCCACAGTTCTGGCAAAAATCCGATCGTCTGCTTTAGCCTCCTAAAAATTCTTCTGAGTTTCCAATTCCAAAGCTTTGAATCCTAATTTCTCCCATTCTGGGGTTTGTTTCCCTTTACACAAATTAAATATTTCCCTCCTAATTTCCCTTCACTGGTCATCATTGTATGGGAAGAAGCATTTGAAGCTTTGGCAAATTCTCCTCATTAAATCAGGAGGCAGTAAGATTGTTGGATGGCATGTGAGTTCAGCCAGAGTGTAATTCTACTGGGAAAGTATAAACGTGATTAAGAATTAGGTAGTATCTTTGCCCATAGGTTCAGTTGATCCTGACTCACTGAGCAACCTGCACAAACTCATTGTGCCACAAGTGGATCTCTTTCTTTGAGTGTGAAAGAAGCAAAGCCAGAGTCCTCTTCAGAAGCAAGGATGACAAGGCTTTGTTCCACTTTCTTTGGGCATAGTGTCAGGAGAGACCAGTCCCTGGAGAAAGACATCATGGTTGGTAAAGTGGAAGGGCGGTGGAAAGAGGAGGGCCCTCAATGAGATGGATTGACACAGTGGCTGCAAGAATGGGCTCAGGCGAAGGAATAATTGTGAGGTTGGCACAGGCCTGGGCAGTGCTTCATTCTGTTGTGCCCAGGGTCACTATGGATTGGAGCTGACTCGATGGCCCCAACCAACCACAGGAGAGAGATGCCGTAATTATACAGCTGTTGAGGACAGGGGTGTTAACATGGAGTGGCAATGCTTCCAAGGATTGGGTTTTCATGTTCCTCACTTGGCAGTCTCTGACAAATAAGGGGAGGAGTATTTGATAGCAGGGAGAATTTAGAATTAAACAATACAATCAACAGAACTGGGGGAAAAGTGAGTTCTGCTTAGATTGACATTCTACTACATGAAGATCTCATAATTGTCATGTTCCTTTACTTGATTCAAAGCCACTCCACGACACACTCAACTTGGCCCCCTTCCCTGTCTCCCAGGCAACAGTGACCTTCTCAGACACCTGCTTTGACTCCCTAAGTGAAGCACTTAATATCTGCAGGACCTTCTTCTCCTGTCGTCGACTCACCTGCACCAACACTTGCTTTCACAAGAGCTTTCTGAAAAGAAGGGTGTGAGGGAGCTTCAAAAACTTCCTGGGAATATAGCCTTGAAAGCAGTGAACTTTTTCATAATTTTTGAATTCCCTCCTAGTTCCTTGGAATTTGAGTTCATGATTCCGGTTATGGACGACACCTTCTCAGAAGCTCGATTGCGTTTTACATCTCCCTTCTTGAAAATGACTGCTCTCCTAGGGCAGTCTCTGGTGCTTCGAAAGCTTCTAGCCTAGACGTTTTGGGAGTTGCATTACGTACCACAGGGGCTGACCATCTATGGAGTAACCCAGCGCACGAGCAGCTGGAGCTTTTCTGCAGCTGAATAGTCATCCTAACCGCCTACGTCAATGAAGTCCAAGTAGTTCCCTCTTATCCTGCTCAGTCCTGCTATGTGCAGTGTCTTTTCAGACCTCATTTGATGAATCGAGTCCAAGGGAACTCTTCCCATACAACATCCTCTCAAATTGTGGTTTAAGCTTCAGCTCTCATTTAGTTTTATTCCTGACCATTTACTATTTTCTCTTTCTTCTTACACTAACCCCACTGTAGGACTATGTCTGGTATAGATCCCTCCTGCATTTCTTCAGAAACAAATAGCAACATTTGAAGAACAGCCTCAGAGGGTTTTGCTTACTACTAGATTGTGATATGAAAATTAAATGCTTGCTATTGATATGCTCACATTTGAATTTGAGAATATATATTTGTTTAATAAATACTGACTTCACTTTTTTCTTTACTTCTGTCTAATTTAACTACTTAGGTTAAAAATATTTGAAAAGAAATCAAAGCAAATCTCAAACTCAAACTTTTTTGTGACATGTCAAGAATTACATTTCATCTTGAGTTGTATAATACCAATTTTTATTAAAACTGAATAATGAAATCCTCTGTATATGTGTGGAAATTATATAATTTTCCCTCAACTAATTTCAGAATTTGAATGCAGAAAATAATCAGAAATGGAAGATGTTAATACCTTCCCAGAAAGTTCTTACCATTTTTTTTCTCCTTCCTACAATTTTTTAAATTGTCATCATTTTATTAGGGGCTCATACAACTCATCAGAATCTGCAATATGTCATTCTTACCATTTAATATGTTTATGGAATGAATATGTTGAATAGATGAATCAGAAACAATTTAATAAATCCTATGATTTTTATATGAAAATTAGATATCAGGATAAGCTGGTCTAGCTATCTAGATTTAGCAAGTGATTATAATAGAAGTTTGGGCTTCATATATCAACTTCCTAGTATTTATATTGCCAAGAAAAATAGCATGCTGTGCATCTGATTTTAAACCGTTTGTTAGACTTTGTCCTTTACAAATGAATGCTCTTGGTATATGTACAGGTTCCACATGAACATAGTTCTGGAATTGCCATTCTTTTTCATATTATCCAGTTTGTTATGACCCACATAGTCAAATACCTACTTGCCTTTAATAAATCATAAATCTCTTATCTGTGTATTTTTTCATGAATTGTCGATATTTTTAAAAATTGAAAATTAACTTTGATTAAATATGGAGTAGAAGACACAGGTGTGCTAAAATGCAGTATTTTTCACATTTACCAAAGTTTGTTTTTCTCCTTATTTTCAAAGGGAATTCAAGGTCATCAAGGTCGAAAAGGAGAGGTATGTGCCCTTATTTTGTACTCCCTTTCTTCACTGCTTCTGGACGGGACTTTGAAACTGTATAAATCTCACTATTTAAATCTCAAAGCAGAGAACGTCTTCTAATTCTTTAGAAATAGTTTCCAATTAGTGAATTCCAGAATTCGTATATTTACGCTGACTAATTGATTCAGGCATGAAATTCTGTTTATTTGCTAATATGATTTGTTGTTCTTGATTTGCAACTGAGTTTTTTTCTCTGCACATTTTATTCAGGGAAGACTAATGTGTATTTGCATATCTGTCTGTGAGAATAAAGTTCTGTTATATCCATTGTTGCATTTCTAGCACTGTACATATTGCCTAATTAACATATTCAATAAACGGAGGATATTCACAAGGTTGGATGTATTTGTGGATGAAGGGGTAAATAAGAGTTTAATATGATACAAAGTTTACCTCCTAAGTGATAGCTGTATTTCTCAGCAGTTTCTATGTAGCTTATGTTTATACTTATGTATATATTCATACCTATCCCTTTAAGGACATTTCTGATGTAATAACAACACCTAAACTTTTGAATGGAAATGTTAAAGCTTCTTTTTGGTTTTAGAGAGGTGAAAAGGGAGAACCTGGTTTCAGAGGTGCCACCGGACCCAAAGGAGAAGCTGGGATGGATGGCTTGACAGGGCTTGTAGGCCCCAAAGGACAACAGGGTGAAACAGGTCCTCGGGGGCCACCAGGATTGGATGGGAAGCCTGTACGTACTTATTTCACAGTTTTTGTATTTTCATTGTTTATGATTTGATACATGCATCTCAAGGATCTCTGGTTGCACTGTGGCTAAAGCAGCACTCTGCTGCCAGCCAAAATATTGGTGGTCAAGCCCACCAATCTCTGCATGGAAGGAAGATGGGGCAGTCTGCTTCTGTAAAATGGGTAACCTTGGAAATGCAGCAAAAATGCAGATATATGCTGCCTCATAGGGTCATTGGAGTCGGAATTAACTTAGTAACAATGAGCTTTTGTGTAGATAGGGTCATTTCGAGTTTGAATAGACGAGAAGGCATTGAGTTTGATATTTTTTTTGTTATATATGTTTTATAAAGCCTAATTATTTGATGCAGGGGAGAGAATTTTCAGAACAATTCATTCGACAAGTTTGCACTGATGTATTAAGAGGTAAGACAAAGAGTTTTTACTACCTTTGTAAAATTATAAAAGCAACACATATTCTTAGTAAATTACAAATGACATAAAGATAAAGAAGAAAATAAGCAACATTTAAAGGATCCCCATTTCATCGTACAGATTACACTTATTTATTGTAATATTTTTACAATATAATTTATCATTATAATTTTACTTTTAATTAAATTTTCTTTTGTAACTTAATTCTTGAAATCTCTGTTTCTAAATATGGATGTCTATAATTGAATTTCCAATTTCTTATTTGAGGAATTTTACTGTGTTTCAGTTGTCTTATTTAGCACCAATGACAACAAAATGATTGCATAAAGCAATGATGATTTCCATAGTTAAATTCCTACAAGTGAAATTATTGATTAAAGGAAGGGTGTGTATTCAATGATCCAATGTAGCTTTTTTGTATATCATTAACTCCCACTCACCATTTAAACATAAAAGGTTTGAAGTTTCTTTCTTTTTATCTTTTTTAAGCCCAGTTACCAGTCTTACTTAGGAGTGGAAGAATTCAAAATTGTGATACCTGTCAGTCCCAAAGTGGTGCTCCAGGTAATCCTGGGCCACCTGGACCCATGGGACCAGAAGGCCCCCGAGGGTTTCCTGGCCTACCAGGAAGAGATGGTGCTCCTGGTTTGATGGGTGTCCCTGGGCGTCCCGGTGCCAGAGGTTTAAAAGGTATTCATCTATGAGAATCAATGAACAACACAAATAGTGTGTGTGTGTGTGTGTGTGTGTGTGTGTCTGTTTATAAAGGATCCCCGGTGGCCCTGGTGGGGACACCTTGCATTGCTAACAGTAAGGTAAGCAGCATTTCAAGCCCACCACCTGATCTCCAGGAGGGGCAAACATGAGGCTGTCTGCTCCTGTAAAGATTTATATTCTCAGAAACCCTTTATTGGGTCATTATGAGTAGATCCCAACTCAATGAATACATTTGGTTGGTTCATATGTCTGTAATCTATACACAGTTAATAAATGAAAGCTTTTCTTTGCTTACATGATGATGATACCTAGCTTATCACAAGGGACAATACGTATTGTGCTAACTAAAATTCTTATAATCTTTGATTTGATGTTTCAGATGAGCTTAAGAGCATTTCCTAGTGTCTTGAAGTAATGTCAGAAATATGAAGCCTGTTTCTAGCTTTTCAGATTAAGAAATGTTGAATGCCTAGAAATTTTGAGTCTCATACGGTCTTTTAACAGAAATACACATATAGAATATTGTTTATTTTATTCTGGTCAGTTTTCTACACAGTTTATTTTTTCATATTTTTTCTGATATTAGGAAATTAATATTTTTCAATAGATTTATTAATAGCCCACAACTCATTCTCTATGCTCTTGAATGTTTATGTGAAATGTTGCTGATTTTTCTTCTCTCTTTAATATTCTATGAGCAATTGGACATTGAAGAAAAGTATTGAAAATATAATGAGTGCAGAGAGTTAATAGCCCCAACCTATTTCCCTTTCTTAGTTTTTAATTCCTGTTAGGTTTTTGCATAGGTTAGTGGAGTCTTTAATTTAAAAACTGTTTCCCACGAGTAATAAAGAATAAGTGACAAGGTGTTTATAAAGATGTGCTCATTAACACTTTAGAAAGAAACTGGAAGGCAGTTATTTTAGAGGAAAAGTCAGCTTATCCTCACGCTTGACGCTCTGCAGGTCTGCCAGGAAGAAACGGGGCAAAGGGAAGCCAAGGATTTGGGTACCCTGGAGAGCAGGGTCCTCCTGGCCCCCCAGGTAAGAGTTTGTATTTGCTCGTAAGTGTTGGTGCATATTTGCTTTAAGAAAGCCATCATAATGTCAAATAATTTTAAAGCAGGATATTTCTTGACTTTTTTGAGTAATTCACATTAAGCAAATACTTTGGAGTTCTAGCTACCAGATTTTTTTTCAATATATTATCCTATATTCATGAAGTGTTCTAGATTATTTGTTTCATATCTTTAGACCATCTGATATCTAATCCTCAGAATTGTTTTTGAATGGATTTAGTGAACCATGCTTATCTAGAGTACATCATAGCTCAATTTTATGATAATTAGGGAGCAGAATAATGTTGATGTTAACTGTTTAGTTTAAATCTATGCTGAAGTTAATAAAGTTAACTCTTTGTTAGCTGTGATATTTAAATATGCTTTATCTGTTTCCTCATTTTAAAAATGGTGAGGATGATGCTATTTACATGATACCCTTATCAAATATTAAATGTATTAGTATGCATAACTTGTTCAGAACAGTGCACAACAATCCCAGTTATGTTGGTATGCGTATCTGCTTTCATTATTGTTTTAGATATTATTACCTCATTTGGCTTTGGAGTTGATCATATTTAATACTGCTTATCTAAAACACATAAAACAGGAACGACAAACATTAGTAAGTGATTGATGTTAGCATTGCAATGTTAGCCCATGTTAATTAGTACTGGTAGTAGGAAGTATGAGTAGTGAGAAGTATCGCAACTCTTTCCCTCCACCCCAAAATCTGAATATTTTATTTTATTAGTTCAGATCATAAATTTTAAAAGACTAATGAACTAAGTTAAAGCTCTTGTCATTGAACATGTTACTTGAATTAATTTGCACATTATCACTAATGTTTTAAAGATCCTTGTATTTGAAAATAGCAACGTCTTCAGATTGGGAAACAAAAATCTGTCACAGAGTCATTTCTAGTGTAAATATGGTGCAAAAGTAACTTGCTCGAATTTTAGTTGCTCTATATCGAGTCACTCGAAGTTAGTCAACCCAGTGGCAGTGATTTTGAGTTTTGTATATGTCACTTTACAATGTACAATAGTTTCGGGAAACTGTATGTGGGAAGGAAAAAATAAGTTTGGTATATTAGAGTGTTAGTTCAATGTCTTAATCAGTAACATGATTACGAAATAAAACCCAAAGCGAAACTCACTTTCATCAAGTCAGTTCTGATTCATCGTGATTCAGTTGGTTACAGGTCAGGCTGCTAACCTAAGTTCAGCAGTTCAAAATCATCAGTGACTCCATGGGAGAAAGACGGGCTGTCTACTCCTGTACGGATTCACAGTCACAGAAACCCACAAGAGTAGCTCTATGCTGCCCTATAGTGTCTTTATGAGTGTATTAATATAGCTTACCTAATTTTATAAAAGAAATTCTGAATGTGCAATGAGTAAGAGGTTTGCTGATAACCCCAAGGTTGGAGCTTTGAAGCCTGAGGAGCCTTGGTGGTGGCGCTGTTATACATAGGGCTGTTAACCCCAAGGTCAGCAGTTCAAAATCACCAGCCGCTCCACAGGAGAAAGATAGGGTTTTCTACCCCCATAAAGAGTTACCGACTCAGAAACTCACAGGGCCAGTTCTACTCTGTCCTACAGGGTCCCTATGAGTTGACATCCACTCAGTGACAGTGAGTTTTGGTTTGGTCTGAGCAGGTCCCTGGGTGAAAGACCTGGCATTTGGCTCCCATAAAGAGGATTATCTAGGAAACCCTATGGGGCAATTCTACACTGCTATCTGGATCAACGTGATTTGAACTCTAATCAACATTTAGCAGCATCATTTTATAAAAATTGATTATTTTTCCAAGCTTCTTTTCATTGTGGTAAGTTATGTAAGAATTACCAAGAGAGTGATTTCTTTTTCAACATTTAGGTAAAATTAGTAAAATTTTCTAAAGATTTTTAAAAATTGGGGTATAAATTGCATTCATAATCAGCTATTTTTCCATCTAAAGAAAACTATGATGTAATGTACTGTTTGACATCCCATCGTAGGTCCAGAGGGTCCTCCTGGAATAAGCAAAGAAGGTCCTCCAGGAGAAACGGGTCTCCCTGGCAAAGATGGAGAACATGGCAAACCTGGCATCCAAGGGCAACCAGGCCCCCCAGGCATCTGCGACCCCTCACTATGTTTTAGTGTCGTTGTTGGGAGAGATCCTTTTAGGAAAGGACCAAACTATTAGTGAGTGATGCCTCATTCAGCATCCTTGGCTAGGTGCTTTTCTTGTGTGGTCCTTTGCATCTCAGGAAGATAACTAGCAATAATCCCTTGACAAGGAACGAAAGTACCTCTGTGTGTTGTTTTTCCTGGAGGAAAAATATAATAAAGGGCATATATATAACTGATTCTTAAAAGGTCCTTCAATAATTTGGAGCTTTTAAAGTTATAACATCAACTAAATTTCCAGGATTTCTTGTAAGTCTATTGTTTTTAATCAGTTAAATAAAATTAAAAACACCAGTGTCTGTCAGCCAGTCATTTTCAGTCAACGTGAAATGTGTCATTTAGTCTCCATGCAGTGGAGTATTTGAATTCAATTTCATGGCTGTGTGAATTTTATGTTTCATGTCTCATAACTCATGCTTAGACATTAACCAACACAGGTATTTTATCATTGGAAATCAAAACAGGGCTGATATTCAGCTGGGATGGGTAGTACTCCCATGACCACTTCTGCCAATAGCTGTGCTTATTGGTTAGGGTCTGTGGCCACTTTTTATATGTCTTGAATGTCACCTCTGACTAAGATTGATGTGGTTTTTTTTTAATTTTTGCTGATTCTAAAATTAGACTAATTTGTTATGCTAAGAAGATGGATTAAATCCATTGGAAATGGTTGAAATTGTTTAGCACAAGTTAAAATACTTCAGATAATGTTTCTTTGTACCTGATCAGTGCATTCAAAGAAAATGGGAGTTCAGCAATATTAAAATAAATATATGCTTCCTACTTGCTGTCTAATTGGAATGTTTGTTGTCTGCCATCATTTTTCATTTCATTTATTATATGTGTATGTTCTCTGTTAGTTTTCATTATAGTCAAGCTAATGATAAGAAGTGCTCTAGATAAACAGAAAAGCAATTCCATAAATCCTAGTATGTCTTGATATTTTTAAGCAGACTTTTGAATATTGTGAGCAGTCCTGGTGTACTGTTCTTATGGCTTTTCTAAGGGACATAATTTGAGATATTTTGTCTTTTTGTCATGATTTAAATTTTGTTACGTGCTTGTTATTCAAATTAAAATAAAGTTTTATACAGATATAATTGTAGTGACTTTTTATATTTCATTTTAACTGATGAATACATTATTCATATTACATGGTCTTTTATTCAATGGATATACTATATTAGATTGCCTACACTATTCTTAAACAGCTAGCTCATCTAACATAATAATTTAGAAATTCACTTATGTTTTTTGCCTAAACAGGCATAGCACCTGCTTCCTAGCCCAGGCCTGGTCATTGACTAATATTTAGATGAACTCATGTACATTGTACAATTTGATGAGGGAGACCTTGGCGGAGACTAAAGTCCATGACATTGAGTAGCTGAATTAGTCTAAGTGGGTTAGCACATTCTATCTTCAGCAAGGTCCAAGTTAAGCCTAATTATACTAAAAGGGGCTTCACCAAGTTTATGGAGAAGTGGAATGAGAAGGTAAAGAACCTTTTCCATGAACCGTTTAAAAATCCTCTTGCATTAACAGTACTAAGAACCCTAGAGGTATAGCGGTTACAAATTTGGCTGCTGACTACAAGGTCATTGGTTGGAAACCACCAGCCACTTCGCTGGACAAAGACAGGGCTTCTAGTGCCCAATACAATTAGTATACAGTGGCACTGAATTGTAGAAGTTGTTGAATTGGAGAATATTTTGTTGTGTATACAACTAAAAAACAATTACTAATAACAATGAGTACATGGTAGAAGAAAATGTTCTAAAATTGTGGTAATGATTATACAACTCTACTTGATATTATCGAACTACCGAATTGTATGATATATGGAAGAAGTGTTAAAAAAAAGAGTTACAGTTCGGGAAACTCATATGGGGCAGTTCTACCCTGCCTATGGGATCTCTATGAGCTGGCATCTACTGGATGGCAGTGAGTTTGGCTAATATTGTTGTTTATTCATCAAACATATCTCACAGCATTTTGAAGATTAAATGAGAGGGACTAAACATAAATCAGTGGAGTAAAGTCAGCAAATTATCAGAATCACATAGAAAATGTGAGGTTAGCAGATAGAGAGGGTGAAACATTTAACAATCTATTAAAAACATTCTTTATGTATGTAACTAATGCTGACTAAAGTTAACCTGATTTATTGCCATTCACAAGGAAACAGCCTGAAGGGTAAAAATAAATCTTTAGTAGAGGCTGTCTTTTCAGACGTTGCCATTCTTGGTATGTTAGGAATACTTTTAAAAAAGAAAACCTTACATATTTCATCCCTTAGTATTTAAATCTGGCAGCTTAGACCATTCAGCCATCCTGACACTTAAAAATCAACATCACGCCTTCGTACTTAAAACTCTACCAGGTACTGAATTGACTCGAATTGAAATGACATGTGAAATCAGAATGGAGCTGGGAAGCATTCTTTGTAAGATCTTCACCAGGGGCAGCCAAATACACAGATACAGAGAGCCACGTGGCAAACAGTTGCATTTCGGTCGATTTGGATGCATGGCAACCCAAGTGCAGAGTTACAGTCTAGGGCAACACATGGTTGGGCTCAAATTAATAACAGTTTTTTTTATAACAAAACAAAACCTTGCCAGATCCTATAGTTTTCTTACTATTGTTGTTAGGTTTGAGCCTATTGTGCATCACAGTGAGCGTTTCCTTTGCGGTTGACCCTGCACCGCGTCATCATGCATGATGTCCTCCAAGGATTGCACCTTCCCGATACTGTGTCCAAAGTAAGCAAGACAAAACCTCTCCAAACTTGCTTCTACAGAGCCTTCTGTTGGCACTTCCTCCAAGACAGACATGTTCCCTCTTCTGACAGTTCATGGGATAGTCATGTTTTGCACCAACATTGTAACACAAATACGTCAATTCTCCTTCCATCTTTCTTTTGCACTGTCCAGCTTCATATGGCTCCATCTTTAAACCGTTCGTAGTCATATTGAATAACTAAGGGGAAAGAACGCAACCCTGCTGCATGCCTCTTCCAATTCTAAATCACGTAGTAACCCCTTGTTCTGTTGTGACGGTTGTGCGACATATAAGCTATGCGAACTTCCCCATTTCTCCATTCATCATATTAACATTAATATAATAATAATCATATCACTATATGAGGGGCTTCAAATATTTCATGGAGAAATGGAATTAGAGAATAATGAAAACTTCCCATCAACTTTTTGAAGACTCCTCATATATCTTTTGAATTCACATATTTTTCAATTGTAAATGTGGTACGGCTTCTTTTGTTATAGCCTGATTATTCCAAGGATGAAAATGTGCTTTGCTTTCATTAATTATTATAGTTGCAAAGCACTTTTTATTTTGATTTCTTCTCTATCTACTCGGCATTTAATGGATGAGATTATCTAATTAAAGTGTATGACTAGCAGTTCTGATCATTTTTATGATCGATAGCTTCATTGTATAATTAGATGCTCTACATTTTTCCCTCAGTTACTGATCTGTCCCCTTGTCTGGTATTTCAGCTATATTTCTGCCCTGTTAAGACAAAACACAAACATTATTATTTTTGTGATATTGACATCAATTATCAAACTGAATATTGCCATAATCCTGGCAGAAGCGTTCATATGACAAGTCAACACAAGCAAGGTTCAGAGGGAGAGCAAAGAAGGAGAATGTGAACAGGAGGCACGGGGAGGATGTGGGGTGAGGATGGGACTTGGAAGGGATTGCGATGGATGAATTGGAACAAAATGTTTATGATCTGTTGAAGGTAAAATGGTTGCTTTTTCAATATAGGCAATTTGGACTGATGGTTCCTGGTGGCATAGGAGCAGAGGAGGGGTTGAACGGGGGAACCAACAGTGATGAGTAGAGGGTGATAGTAAGGGTTATAAAATGGATGGTGAGGAGGGCGCAGTTTTTCTGGTCATGTTCGATCAATCAATTATATCTGAGAGGTGAAAATGGGTAAACACAATTGTGGGATAGGAGACAAAAATAAGAAAGAAAAGAGGAAGAAGAAAAATATATATATGTGTTTTTTTATCTATGTATATATGTATTATGCAAATGCAACAAGGAAGCAGATGGATTCTGGGCCTCTATTTAAATCTTACCCCAGTCCAAGAAGTTATTATTATTAGTTATTATTAGTAGTAGTACAGTTTGTTCTAATAATGTGGCATTGTATGATACTCACCTTCCTAACACTGTCGCTGAATACAAACTGGGTGCATCAGTTAATGTGATGAAGAAAGCTGATGGTGCCCACCTATTAAAACATATAGCATCTGGGTCTTAAAGACTTGTAGTTAAACAAGCGGCCATCTAGCAGGGAAGCAACAATGCCCACATGGAAAAACCAAACCAGTCTGTGTGATCATGAGGTGTCGATGGGAAGAAGTATCAGAAGTTCAAAAACAAGCGACCAAATCGGTGTGAAGGGGTGTAGATGTAGTGGAGACACAAACCACAAACACCTGTGAGATAATTGGACAGTCCCTCAAAGAAGGGCCACATGTAAGGGATGATCATCCAGGGAGCAGTATGGCACTGAAGAGCCACATAACTATCTCTTTAGTATTTCCTCCCCTTACTATTATGGTTTCTACTTGTTTTACATCATTAATCATGTATGTATTTGTGTACGTATGTTCATTTGTATATTTAAGATTGCTTGGGACATGAAAGTCAAGATAGACAACCCTTCAGAAACAGTAACAGGAGTAATAGTTCCCTGAGGGCATGGGGAAAGGGGCCGTGGGGAGCTGGTAGCATTAATGACTGCATAACCCCACTTGAGGGATTGAGCAACAGAATTGTATGTGAATGGATATAGTGGATTGTTTAATATATGAGCAAAAATAAACTATTATACAAAAAAAAGAATAAGAGTCCCTGAGGGGTGTGGTGGGGGAGGGAAACGAAAAGTGGTGGAGCTGATATCAAGGAGTTCAAGAAGAAAGAAAATGTTTTGAAACTGATTGTGGTAGCAACTGTACAAGACTGCTTGATGTGATTGAACGATGGAATGCTATGACACCTGTAAAAGCTCCCCATAAAAAGATTTAAAAAATTATCTAGGTCAAATAATACATACATACATAAGCACGTGAATAGCCATCTGGAAGCCACTATGATCTCTTCTCACCTAGTGCATAGGAAAACAAGTTTTAAAAAAAAGTTCAGGAAAGCAATTAGAGCTAAGCTGAGACAAGAAGACCACTCTGACCAAAGTAGACTGACAGCAAGTACCATTTATAATGTGTTAAAACCTGTAGAGCACATTTTAAATTAAAAAAAGAAAGAGACCAGATTCATGGTTACAAAGACACTACAGAAACTTAAGAGACAAGTGGCCTGAGAAAATCTTTTAGGTTGAAACTGAAGCACTCCCTGCGGCCCGTCTGGCCAAACACTGCACGGGCCGACACAACGCACAAGCTGAGGAACAGCTTCTCTGAACAATCGACTACAGGAGATGGAGAGATTTGCTTTTGCCCCAAATGAAAGATGAGAAAACAGCGTGGAGCAGGGGGACTGGACAAATGAAAAGGAGGAAATAGACCGCAGATACATTCCCGGGGTTGCAAACCACGTCTTAGGACAATTTGTTTATGCACTAGTGATTAGGAAGCTAACTTTTTGTGTGAAAACTTTCACTTAACACACAGTGATATGTTAAATAATAGTACAGGAGTAAATTTAAAGCAAAATTTAAAAAGTTAACCAAAGTTAATAGCTTATGGATAATGCATTGGAAACCTAATCATTTAGTGAGGGATATAATAGGAATTCACTTGAAGAGCTGTTTTCCCCTCTCCCTTTCTCTACTTCTAAGGAAGAAAAAGACGAGGTGAACCACACTTACTTAAAGTGAGATGCAAAAATTTCCTTTTAAATGCTTTAGAAAAGTTATCTTTACAAATACAAAGTTTTATTTTGCCCCAATACCACTTTTTTTTAGTTTTATTGCCTATGCACCACATATACAAATTTATTGTTTAATCATAGCAAGATTTGTGCAATCACCATGATCAATTTCAGAACATTTTCTTCTCGTACTCAGGTTTGTGCGTTCTCTGTTCCCACCCTCCAC